TAGTACTGTCACTTAATGTGCAAAATGACTGCGATTTTTTCCCATAATAAAGCATTCCAGTATGTAGGCTTATCTGGGACTTAGAAGCACCAACATGCTTAGCCTGTATCTCGTTGTACATTTTTGTCTCATAGTTTTCGGAGAAATCACAAACTATGAGTGCCTCGTTTTCTCTTAGGTTTTTTACCGCCTTTTGGTATTGCTGGCATTGGTGTACCATATTAAAGAAGTGTTTTTTAAAATGTTGAGTTATGCTGCTATTGAAGTTTTTTAACAAATCTTTTACTGTCCCATGTTTCTCTAACTTTCCTGTTTTCTTTGTTTTTATTTTCTTTATTTCATTCCCATCTTTTTTAATGTAGTAATGTTCCCGTTTCTCCCATTGTTTCCAAGTTATAATTTCTTCCAGTTTCTCTTCATCCGCAAAATGATCTACCTCTCGATTTCTGCAATCCTGGCACTTATTGTACATGCAATCGTATTTTTTTCTGTTTTTTAAAAAACGTTACCTCCACACTAGGATTTTCTCCTGTGTCGTGAAGGCAGTTTACAAACATAAATTGCACAAGGACAAACATCCAGACCCGGAACAATTATTTGTAGGCCATACAAATACTTGTTCCGAGCGGGATTCAAACCCGCGGCCCCCAGCGCAACAACTGAATGCTAAGCCACTGCGCCACGGAGCCGTTAGTCTTCTCTTTCGAGAATTCCTTTCAAGTCTAACTTAACTATTCCTATCTGTCTTAACTTTTGGTGTTGAAACTCAATATTTGCGTGTTTGATACATAAACAAGTGTTTCTCGATTTTAAGTGACAACTACAACAAAAACATAATGAGGCTTTTGTTTATAAAATGTTGTGAGACCGTATCGTCCACCTTCCTCTCGGTATTTCTTAAACAAATTGTGAATATTGTCCAATAAATAACGTATTTGTTGCTTTTCTTTATTTTTGTGCGTCTTTCTTTTTTTCCAGCGGTACTGCGACTGACATCGTCTCTCAAGTAAAATGATTGGATGTCTTCAATCATTGTTGTTTTAATCTTTCTTTTCCGCATTTTTAATTTGTACTTTAAACCTAAACATTTCGCTAAATAAAATTTGTTTTCAGAATTTTGAATTATTTTTTTTTAATATTCTTTTATGCAAAGCACTTTCTAAAACTTCATTTCGGGCTTTTATCTTATTGTAAATTTTTTTCCATTTCTATTTTTTCTCTTTCGGAGGCTACTTTTAAACGATAGTATTTTTTTCAGTAGCTTTCATTACGCGTTTTTAGATTTTCAATAATCACTGATAACTTATTAACTTTTTCAGTTATTGCCTTAATTTTTATATTTAATTTCTTATTTGCAGGTTTTTCTAATTTGGTCGGAGGGGTAGTGGACTCTTCAATCTCATTTTTTTTGAGTTTCTACTTCTTTTTTGATATTCTCTTCACTTTTCTCTTTGTTCTACTTTTTCTGTCGAGTTCATTTCGGAAACTTTCTTTTTTTTTAAGTTTTATTCTATCTATATTGGGCTTCCGCTTCATACTCGTCAGGCCGTTCTTTTTCAAATTTTCTCTATACCTTTTCATCTTTTCAGCTGCCGTGAGCGGCATTATAAAAATATCAATAACTAATGAGCTTGAATTTCAGTAAAGTTCGATAATTATAACCTCCTTGCGATAAAAATACCTACCCGAAAACTTATTTTTAATTAACACAAATTAATTATTAATCATCCATGACAAAAACACCAGAATAACTTATAATGATAAAATTGTAGTAAAATGAATTTAAATAAAATAAATTTAAGAAACAGCATTCTTTTGCACCGTGTAAAAGTCACTTTAGCAGTCAGTTTGGTTACTTTCGTGGTCAGCCTAAACGTTACCATAAACACGGTAACCAAACTGAAGTAACGTTTTGCTTTCCTTGTATATTATAATGTTAAAAAATAAATAAAAGAGTGAGTATAAAAGCAATGTAATAGTTTATATTTCATCTTTAGATTGTAATGCATGACTCTAAATACTATACTACGTACATACATATTAAAAATCGTTTAAAATTCGATAACTTATCTTGACAAAAATATTGAAGTAGCTCTCGCGTAACACAACACTAGTCGTTTTAGACTATCACAACCACAAACTATATAGAAACACTACGCGTTATCACCATGAAATTATAGATAAAGATGGAGACCACACTCCGAATACCTACTTGAAGCTTAACCTATGTATTACTATCTCGCTCTCTGTGGGCAGACCCTCCCTTTCTAAGTAGGTAACCTTTATTTTATTTTTCCCAGGATATCGCCATATGTAGTTGCATTACATTAAGTGGTTTATTTATAAATATCTACATCTCTGTTTACTACTAAGACCTAGCCTATATAGATTATATATTTTTGTACAATGTTTTATTTGGGAATTGACTAGTTTTATGAAGAAAGGTTTTCATTTCCATGGGCAGAACCGGTATCTAAAATATGACCACGCATTTCCGTTACAACCCATATAATGCCGAGCCTATTTAGAAAATGTGGAAAATAAATATATCAGAGAATATTTTATAACTACCATTTCGATAATGTATTTTCTGGTTATTGTATACAATTCCTAAACGGTACCAACGAAATATAAAATTAAAATTTATTATAACACCCCGAGTGATCAATGAATTGGGCAAAATATACCTGATTTATTGACAGACTAAATCTATTTCTGGACAGTTATTTAATCTATTTTTATCACGAATACTAAAGGAGCGTAGCGGAGCTCCTGCCTTAGCCTTCTGACCTTACCCATCCGAGTCAGGCTCCTCTGAGCTGAAATGTGTATAATACTATATTCCACACAAACTGTTCGTTTTAAGAATTATCTACAATTACTAGGAATACTATATAATAACGGATTTCATAGATTTCTAGTAGCATATGTACTATAGACAAAGAGAATATAATCACTACGTTTAATTACAGAGAAAACAAATTAGGCGAATTTAGATTACTTGACGACAAATTGGCGACTCGGACCTGTCTAGACTTGGCAACACTGGGTATGAGTACAGTATAGGAATGTTCGATGTTGCAATAACATCGATAGCTCAACATTATAACGGATATTCGATGTTTAGCCTACTCAAAACTTCGACGTTGACCATTATCGATGTTTTTTGTATATGTGTAGATACTTACATATTGTTTCAAAGTTATATGGGTATACACGGCAAGGGAAAAGTAACAATTAATTTGAATAGCAATTTACGTACAATAGTTATTATGCGACAACCAACAACGACACTACAAAATAAATCGAAAGCAGTGACCAGTGTGACATTACAGGTGACACTTGACAATTAACCACAATTAACTTTAAACACCATAATGACATTTTTTTACATTAGCGATGCGTTCAGGAATTCTGAATTATTCAAAATTTTAAATCTTCAGAGTAGATTCAAGATTTAGTTGATATTGATTTCGCGCGTTCGCAAGTTCCCAATAATCGAATAGAATAGAATAGAATAATGATTTATTTGCATTGAATGTAGGTAATAACAATAAGGTGTTGACAGAGTACGTAGAAGATCCGTACATTCTACCATTTTGGCATGCAAATATTAAATTAAATTTATTTCTATATAATACTAGTAATTAATAATAAATAGATTTAAAATTATAATTATGAGTATAAATAGTTATAATATTATTATAATTCTAAGTATTGCATTATTATTATTACATTAATTTATATTGTTGAAATTTTATAGCATAACACATAAATTATTAATACAAATAACATATTATAAACAATTAATTAACTGAAACGTTTTTAAAATATTGGTATCATTTAAGAAGTCCGACACTGAGTAATAGCATCTTTCCAATAACAAAGAAGTAAGACTCTTTTTAAATATTCTAATGGGTTGATTTTTTACAAAATTTAGGATTTTGTTATATATGACAGGTCCCATGCTCATAACACTTTTTTTTTTAATAAAGCTGTTTGAAATCTTCCTGTATACAGTAAATATTTATATTGCGTTCTCATAGATACGGCTCGTACTCGAGTTTCATTTAAGGTAGGGAATAAATGATGATTAATTTTAACAAATATCGCTATTTCTAAAATATACAGACACGGAAAATTTAATAATTTATGGGCTTTCAAAATAGGGACACAACTATCTGTTATCTTTAAATTGAAGATTGCTCTTATGCAGTGCTTTTGGGCTTTGAAAATGCTTTCTCTATCGCCACAGTCAATTCTGTCCATGTCAATTGGGTGTCTATTGAAATACCTAAAAATTTTGCGACATCTACTCCTTCAATTATTTGACAATTGTAATTTTAGATCTTCAGTGCGAATTTTCGGATAAAAGTGCATTATTTTAGTTTTTTTAATATTGATCAGTAAATTATTATAATTCAGCCAGTTAATTATAGTTTTAATCGTAGTGTTTATATCATTTTCATAAGAATCTTTATTAAGGCATTTTATTAGAGCTGTACTGTCGTCGGCAAATAATACCATTGGATGATGGATTTCGATGGATGGATCGATTATGGGCTTATTAAAGTCGATGTTTGACATGTGTCAACATCGGTGTTTTAATTTTTAACATGAATAACATCCCTAGTACAGTAATAGTTGTGTTTGTGACATAACCAGACATAACGTAGTGTTTGTGTTTCTAAGTTTATGTTGTGTGTGACATAATGATTAATGTGTTTCTATATAGTTTGTGTGATTAATGAGTAATGACATTGGTTTGGCGTTCAGCGTTCATGCACTAAACATAAACAATGTTTAAATTTATTATCGATGAATTTATAATTTAATTCATTCCTTATCTAATCAGCTGATAAAGAGGAAAGAAGTTTTCAAATGAAACTACAAACTGAATATTAGAGAAAATATCACATTTGTAAGAAATTGAAAATAGATAGGTCGATATGAAATTTTTATAGAACACCAGTTGTGAAGTGAATTTCTCATTTTTCAAGATGAATTCCGATGCAGTCGTTATTGATACACATTACAATAATTTACATTTTTTTATTGGTCTGGGTCTGGCGACATCATCCAGTATATTTATAGGTTCCAGTTTTATTATTAAAAAATTAGCCTTAAAAAAACTTAATGATCTAGGCAATTTAAGAGCTTCGGCTGGAGGGTATGGATATCTTAAGCAATGGATGTGGTGGTTGGGACTACTTACAAGTACTTACCTTTTGTCTTTTATGTTAAATTATTCATAATTACTATTTTTGTCTAAAAAATGTGGTGATTTTCAGTGGTTGTTGGAGAAGGTGCAAATCTGTTAGCTTATGCATTTGCACCTGCTGCTTTGGTAACACCACTGGGTGCTTTGAGTGTACTTGTGGCAGCTGTGCTATCCTCTAAATTTCTTAATGAAAAATTAAATTTCATTGGAAAGGTCAGTCAATTATTGTTGGAGAGTTAATATTTTTAGCTACTGATGATAATACAATTTATAAATTTTCATTTACAGATTGGATGTTTCCTGTGTATCATTGGTTCTGTTATATTTGTGATACATTCACCAAAAACAGAAGAAATTCAAGAGTTTTCAGAGCTGAAAAATAAAATATTTGATTTTTTATTCATTTCTTACGTTTTAACTATTTCTGTTATGACTCTAATTATAAAAATTGTGTTTGTTCCTAGATTTGGTAATACCAATGTTGTTGTATACTTGTTAATATGCTCTGCTATTGGAAGTTTAACTGTTGTATTTTGTAAGGGAGTTGCTTTGGGTATTAAAGAAACTGTTGAAGGAGGTGGTAATAATTTCACAAATTACTTGTTTTGGTTACTTGTTGTGTTATCTGCTTTATGTGTAGTGGTTCAAATGAATTACTTAAATAAGTCATTGGACATATTTAACACTAGTGTAGTTACTCCTATATATTATGTAATTTTTACTGTGTTGGTGATTATTTCATCTGGCATACTTTTTAAAGAATGGGAACAAATATATTTTGAAGACATTTTAGGTTGCACCTGTGGTATTCTCATATTGATGATAGCAGTGTTTATATTGAATGCTTTTAAAGATGTTAACTTATCTTTTAAGGATATAAACTTAAATGCTAGAAGAAGGACGTCTAATAATGGTGTTGAAACATCACATAATTATGTGGTTAATTTTCAAAGAACAAGGCATTATCAAAGTACAAATTAATATTAAGTTTAAATAACAATTTTTCACCTCAAAATTATTTATTAAATGATTAAACAGAACCAGATTTTACAAGAGGAGTTAGTTTAAACAACTGTGTGTAATATAGGTAGGTGGAATAGATTTTATATTTCAGAAGTTATTCAAGATGGCAAAATTGACTAATCCAGTTCTTACAATTAAAAATTGGGACATGTTTGGCCTTTTTAAACGGATAATATAGTTTTGTCCTAAAGATTAATTTAAGGATAAAACTTTTTTGTGTTTATTTAGGAATTCAAATTCAGATTACATTTTCTGTAGCATTTACTTCCAAACATTCTTAAAAAAATCTCTAAATGTTTGTGAACTGGTTTTTCGATTTCTTCTATAACTACTGTAGATCTCTGTCCTGCATATATCTTGTGTCACCATTATATTATCCATATACCATTTTTCTTCTGACAAAGCTCAAGACAAATGCCATCAAAATACGCTCTTCAGCATTCTTCAATAAAGTGATGTATGATTTAGTCCTTACTTAAGTCTGATGTAAGGTATAGTTTTTTTCAATGTAATTAAAGAGCTATTGAAATATTTTGTGAAAAAGATTTTGGCTGTAACTGTCTATTTTTAGTTAAAATATTTCAGTTTTGTTCTAAAGTTGAACTTATAGATAAAGGTAATGAAAAAAGTTCTCATACCATCATGTGCATTGTTGCACAAAACTCCATTAGATGAAATGATGACCTGATGTAACATGCAGGTAGTTAATGGATCCAAGTGGTTTAGGACCATGTTTTGTGGGTGGCCTATGTTTAGCAGAGTACTTGAGATGGGCTGTAGCAATGGTGATTGTGATAGTTGGACATATATACAAAGTGCTAGTCTGTTTTAGAATGAAAAATTGATATGATTGGATTTTTGAGATTTTCTATATTTCGCTTGAGAATGCCATTTTCCACCAACCTCAAAAAGGAGACAGTACCCAATTTGACTGCATGTTTTTTTTATGTGTGTTATCTCATAAGATCTTTCTGGATAAACCGATTTCGATGATTCTTTTTTTATTTGAAAGCTGGTGTTTCACATGTGGTCCCATATAAATTTGATTAAGGTCTAATCAATAGTTTTTTAGTTATTAATAATTTATATTAAAGTTGGTTGTACAAAATTTTAAATTAGAGCTATTTTTGTCCTTTCTTCTGCACAATCAATACTATTAAAAGTTATTGATTTCATTGCATGCTGTTGCATATATATATATATATATATATATATATATATATATATATATATATATATATTTATTTATTTATTTATTTTATTTGTTATTAATACAATCTTTTTTCTTAAAGGACCTATAAAACATCTTTGATAGAAACAGTAACAAAATAATACAAATCTTTTTAAAACAATATTTATAACATAAATTAATAATATTTTTATTATTGTGAAGGTGCATCCAATTGTTATTGGTTTTCTATTAATTTTCTAATTTTATTAAAACACATTAATTTTAAATATAATTGAATGTTTTAAATTTTAACTTTAATATTTGATAAAGTTTTTAAACAAATTTTTACGTTTTATCATTTGGGGAAAGGTTAGTTTGCAATTTTCTTACTTTTGCTTATTTAGAGGTGGGGGTCTATAATCATAGAAAGTTTGCTTATGTAATACTTAAACACTATACTAATTCTTAAAAATTAATAACATTGATTGACACTACTTTATCAAGGCAGTACAATTTAAAAAAGTTTTCAAGTTAAAAAGGACTAATCTGTTTATGTTAGTCAGCTCCACAAATGTGTATTGAATTATGTGTTTATGTCATAATTAAAAACTTTAAACTAAAAGTTTCATTAAAATGTGATATGAACTTAAGAAATTACATGTTAAATAGTAATTTTGGAAATTCAAATAAAATCTATCAATATTTGTAATAAGTTAATAAATCAAAAAGTAACATTATTAATAAAAAATTAAAAGGAACTTTACTGATATTGAGAATAATGCAGAGTGTATTGTTACATGAGTAATTAAAAGATCATAAATGTTTTATGCTGTCAGAGTGATTGGTAGTCAGACCTTACGCTGATGTAGCTGCATCTTTAGGGATTCCTTGCCCACCCACTTCATCACAACAGTTATCAAGTATTTACTTTGCTCCTCATGCTTCTCAATCTTATAGAAAGACTGTTTTCAGAATTAACCCAACTAGACCTGTTCCAAATTCTGTAGGCTATGATAAGGTAGCACACAACAATATTGTAAGAACGCCTACCTCTTCCCTTCCAAATGGTCATGCTCTGTACGCTAATTTATCCCCTAATGATAATCTCCTGGAAAACCTTGTGTCCTCCATCTCTCATATAATTGCCAAATTTGATGATATACACCTACCGTTTAACGCATGAAGCTAATACAAAGGGGAGACGGCATAAGCAACTGTGCACTGTGATTCTAAGTAGGTCCTGACGTCATCATAGTGGGCGTGACTTTAGTTAGTATACTGTCAGCATTCGTCCTGTGCGCTTATGTGTTGAAAAAATCGCAAATCGGTGTATTTTCGTAGTATTAAGAAGAAAAGGATGAAGTGTTGTGTTTTATTGTGTAAAAACTACTCAGATAGACGCTCTGATGTTATGGATGGGATCACATTTCATTTGTAAATAATTTTACACCTAATTTATTAAAATAGTTCTAGAAAAATCTCATTGCGTCGGCTTTCAAATATAATTAAATATATTCGACACTAGATGGCGACACTTTGTGTTATGTGAACTAAAAATATAAAGGTCCGTAGAGCTCAGTATTGGTAAAATAATCATACGAAGGTGCTCAAATTTATTTTGCATTCACACAAAGAAATTTTAATTGCAAAATATTATTTTTATAGTTTATAATCATTTTGAGAACAGGCCGTATTCTCATCATGTAAACCTCATAAAAATGACAAAAAGACAGGGCCCTAATTAGAATTCAATTATTTTTCCCAGTAATCCAACTTTTAATATTAAATGCAGGAAATTGTACTGTACTTATACTGATTTTTACGAAATGTTTAAGTTATATTTAAGTGACATTCTATATGCAAAGAATCACTTAAATACAATTTAATGTTCTTAGATTGGCATTCAAAAAGTGCATTCAGATGCCTAATTTGGAATAAAATATTTATATTTTAATTGATTTGTAAATAAAATTATATTAATTATAATAATTTGTTCTCCCTCAGAGATATTAAGTAGTATAATCCACACATCAATAATAGTCCAGCCGTTTCTGCGTGAAAAAATTACACATACTTAGTGTGGAATAAGCTCAAGGAGACAGAAAGAACACACAAAATTTCGCCTTTATAATATTAGTGAGATAAGTAGGATATTTAGTTCCAAATTAAATATCCTACTTAATATTGAACATAGAATATTTAGTTTCAAAGAGACTTTATTTTATGGATAAAATAAATATTTCTTGAAGGTTGACTTTCACAAAATGATAAACATATTTAAATTGTATTTAAGTGATTCTTTGCATATAGAATGTCACTTAAAACTTAAACATTTCGCAAAAATCAGCCAAGTGCAATTTCCTTCATTTTAATATTGAATGTTGGGTTACTGGGTAAAATAATTGAATTCTAATTGCGGCCCTGTCTTTTTGTTATTTTTTATGAAGTTTACTTGACGATAGATGGCGGCCTGTTCCCAAAATTATTATGAAAACTATAAAAATATTAGTTTGGTGATTAAAATTTCTTTGTCTGAATGTATTTGCTTCATGAGATAGACGCTCCGATGCTATTGATGGCATCACATTTCATTTGTAAGTAATTTTACACCTAATTTATTAAAATAGTTCTAGAAAAATCTCTGCGTTGGCTTTCAAATATAATTAAATATATTCCACACTAGATGGCGACACTTTGTGTCCTGTGAATTAAAAATATAAAGGTACGTAGAGCTCAGTAATGATAAAATAATCATACGAAGGTGCTGAAATTTGTTTTGCATTCAGACATAATGAAATTTTAATCGCCAAAATATTATTTTTTAGTTTATAACATTTTGGGTACATTCCGCCATCTACCGTCAAGGTAGCTAAGCTACATTGCAACATCGATATGGAAAGATTCGAGTAGTTTTACTATTTATCGGTAGATGTAGGTGTATCGGTACTGTAAAGTGGGCGGGGCTTTGCATCCCCTCACCCCGCAAATTGTCACGCGTTCTTACATAGTGAAATTTAATTACAACGTCTCCTCTTTGTATTTGCTTCATGGTTTAACGTGAGACATAAACTACAACTTCCAGTGGAACTGTCGGAGCATCAAGAACAAGAAATCTGAACTAACTAATCTGATAAATACTCATAACCCTTTAGTCATTGCTATTGCGGAAACCTGGCTAAGACCTGGTTTCAGATTCAGAATCCCTGGTTTTTCGTGCTTCCGTGACGACCGCAGCGATGGCTACGGTGGCACTATGATTCTTCTAAATAGAAATCTTACCTCTTGCTCAATTCCCCTTCCACCTCTGCAAGAGAATATTAACATCACAATTGTGTCAATATATATTTCCAATCCTACTCCTGCCTGTATCCCAGAGCTTAACCTAATCCTGTCTAGCATATCTCCTCCTTTTATTGTAATTGGGGACTTCAATAGTCACAATGTACTGTGGGGTTCTCATAAAAATGATTCTTTTTCCTATCTTTTAATAGACGTCTTTAATGAGTTTAACCTTTGCATTTTGAATAATGGGTCTCCCACGCGCATGGTCTACCCTTCCCAAAGTCCTAATTCTGTTGTAGATCTATCCGTCTGCTCTGCTAATTTAGCTGCAAGTATCAATTTGAACACTCTATCGTCCACCTTTGGTAGTGACCACTTCCCCATCCTTTTGTCTTTGTCCAGTAGAAGCCTTCACACTAGGAATAAATCATGCATCTCCAAGTTTAACGTGTCCAAAGCCAACTGGGATGTATATCTTTCTGATATAGAAAATAAAGCTCATTCT